AAAAAATACTCAAATGTAAAATACTACATTTTCTATGATATCCCCATTTACTTTCCAAGTATGCCATTTTRATATTGGATTGAATCAAAAGGTAAAATACCCTTTATTTCTCTAACAACTGTGTATGCTGTCTTTCTGCTCCCACTAAGTTGTTGCTTCTCAGTAATTCTAAGCATGGAGAAGTCAACTTAGAACAACAAGGGACTGACTTAATAGCTGTTTGGAAAGTCCTACTTAAATATTTGCTTGTGAATACCATTGCAATAGTAGCAATGCTCACTCAGGATCTCATCCTAAGAGATGCTAAGCACCATTTATTTGTTTATTTATTATTTATTTCTCTCAGCAGAAATAGCAATGCTCAGAATCAGCCTGTCAGATTACACCACGATGGGCAAAAAAAGCAGCACATGAAATTGGTACAGGTACACAAGTAACACCCAAACTACACCCTGTGTAAATCAGTCATGCCCTGRTCTTGTAGACACCTATATGCATTCTTTCTGTGAGCTCACTTAAGTTGGTCTACACACAATAAAGTTAGGCATATGTGTTTTTGTTTGCAGGACTGGGGTCTTCTAYTGCACCAGTAGAGGTTCTCTTTGCGGAGAAGGGCTTGTGCACACTTCTCTTGCTGGGGATCGAAAGATAATGTTGTGTTTATACAGCTTTGGAATACAGCCTGCACTTTTTGGAAAACAAGAAAACAAAGGTACAAAAAGAAGAAGAAAAACTAAGGGTGCTAAGGCAAACTGTCAAATAGCACATCATACCTACATCATTCATTTAGATAACATCACAAAGGCGGACCAGAGGAGTTCTGTAAACATACACCATACAGTACATCAGCCACAGGAAATTAAAAAAAGAAAACAACCCTGTAATTCTTTTCTTTCTGTATAGTTCTTGTAATTGAAAGAGATTGCCTAGCCACTAATCATAATGCGGTGTTTTCTGATTTGTAATTTTCTTCTGTTAAAAAAAAAAAAAAAGGAATGAAAGTAAAATGCAGTGGTTTGCAAAAGAAACAGTCTCTGCAAATCAGGGACAACATGGAAGTGGATTCATAGAAACTTAGAAAATACAAAATATAAAAAGTTTTGTTGGTTACTTTCTCCCAGTCTAGGAAAAGATATACTGAAAAGAGTTTTCTTTTTCTTACAAAAGTTAAGGCGATCAGTTTGTTGTGGCAAAATGTTATCACAGAAGCAGTTTCTGACTCTACTTCTTTCCTGTATCTTTCCATACTGTAATTGAGAACATATATGTGACTCCAAAAGTTAAACAGACAAGGAGTTTGCTTAAAACAMTACAGAAGAACTCCCATAATGATCCTTACGAAATCTCTTTCTGCTTGACGGTTGCGTGGACTGTTTCCTTTGTGTCTGATTGTGCATATATTTCCATAGGCTACTTTCTGTCTGAAGGGAAGGGAAACTGGACCCATTCCAAAGCTCAAAGAAGCCCTGGAAAACTATTTACATTCATCAGCCTATGCTAATGTATTTGAATCCCCATATTGTTTGGCTGCAGTCTAATGGCTAGAATGGAAAAGCTAATGTCGAGGCAAGTTTCTTGTACTTGCACAGAAGAATGATTGGAGCAAGCTGGCATAGCTAAAGCCCTCAGAGTCCAGATTGATTTGTTTTTATTTTTTCCTTTTTCCTAATCTCAGACATGAAATAACCTTTGATCAATAAAAACAAATCCTTTCCAGATAGTCTTCTAAAAACTTCAGCTATTTCTTTTTCATCTGTTGTGGGCTCATTAACCATGGAGCTCATATGCACATGTGAAAACACTGGCCTTCTGGGGCACTCAGTGTTAACTATAACTACTGASCAATAAGTATTTGGCAGGTTTAAGGTTTAAGGCTTGTGCTCTACTTCTAACCACTAAAGGGCCACTTCCAAACTCACTGGTTTGCCACCATTTCCTAGTGAYTTTATGAATAACATGGTATAGTGGTCTCAGACACACTCTGGTTTTAGGCCCAGTAAATATTGCCCAGGGCTGTTTTTTTTAAGGGAGTAATCCCCAAAATGATGAATATGTTGCTAACGAGGAGAAGATCTGTTGCAGGACCGCATAGCTAGAGTTGTGTGGACAGACTGGATTAGGAGTGATACCCAAGAGTGTTCAGAATACCAATGACACTCCAAATATCCCATGCCTAGGGTTTTTTAAAAACCTCTCTTTAGAGAATAGAGTAGGTCAGGAGACAAAAAGATGTGGTTGGGAAGGCATAGGGAGGTCAAGGTGGCCAGGAAGGCAGGATTGCACCTAGAATGGAAAGGACAGTATGATATTAAAGACTGGCTAAACCAGGAGGAGAGGACTGGAGTATTTGCTTTTGAGTGTTACTAGTACTCTCAGCAGGCCCCCAAGCGAGAGAATTATTGTGAAGAGCACTGGTATGTTGCTGCAGGAGACAGCAGGCGCTGTCACTGAACCGGGCAAGTCTGTGCATGAGCGGCGTTCATGACATAGGAAGGAGCCAGAAATGGTTTTACTGTCCCTATAAATTTATGTTACTAAATTRTTTTGTGCTTTGGAGTCCCAAACTTGCCTAGTCAAAGCCCTAATTAACTCCGTGGGTAACTTCAGCCATTGCAAGCCATTGTTTCCTAACCATATGAGCTGTGTCAGGTTATGCAGAGGTGATCACAGCTGTGTGGGCTGCTACTTGTCAGCTGAGTTGTGGTGACCTCGCCGGGTATGTTGGGAGCATAGAATAAACCATGAAATGCTGATAGTTGGCATCAATGATGCTCTTGGAGTTTGGGTACCACAGCCAAGCTGACAAGTGGTGATTTAGGAACTCAGTCTCTTGAGGCTGCTTATCCACATCTTGGCTTGCTGAGCATGAGGCTGTGGAGGTCATAAAGAGTACAGTGGAGGTGGAAACCTATGGCCTGATTTTAAGAAATATAGATTTTTTTATCATTTAGAATTTCTGGAAAAACAAAACAAAACAAAAAACAAGCTGCTAGTTTCCAAAACAGTTTTTAACAAGCAGCCACCGGACATATTATTAAAATGCAGGATTGCTGCAGCCGCTCTCCTTTCTTTGATAAAACTGTTAACCACAGAAGCCTGAGTGAAGTGATGATTTGCAGAGTTTCTGTTGGCAAGTTTGGTCCTTCTCTTATCCAAAACCCCTCAGGGRGGCTGAGGGAGCATATGGAAGTCTATTACAAGTTAAATCAGGCCACTGCAGTGGGTATGGAGACCAGTGTAATTTTCATAGTTGTCATACTGATGTGACTTTCTTTTCCTGATCTACTTGCCTTTTTCCTTTTTTTTTTTTTTTCCCCAAAATCACCTGGGTAGTTGTGAAACGTTATGACAACCAGCTCCATAATGATGGATAAGCGACCTAACACAGGAAATAGATTTTGCATTTGTGGGTGTTTTTAATGTGCCGTATATTAATCACTGTCATGAACAAGTGTCTTTCCTACTGGCACAGAAAGAAAAGAGTACAGAGCAAGACCTCTGTTTAATCAGATGCTCTGAACTAAGAATTAATGCAGTAAAAGCACCATCCAAGAAAGAACAGAAATATTATATAAAACACCTCAGGCTGGAAAGAGGTTTTTTGTCATTTTCCTTCTTTCTTTCTTTCTTTCTTTTTTTTTTTTTTTTTAGTTTTTTTTTTTTTCAGTTGCTGTTATCCTTTCTCTAAAGTCTGATAGTTTCAAAGACACTTCAAAGTAATCTCCAGTATTTTTTAACAATACCAGAAAATACAAATCCTGATATTTAATTTCACTTCTACAGGTGTAAACCCAGATGAAGTCCAGTAAAGTAAGTGAAGTTACACTTACATAAAGCCAATATGAGACAAAAATTAGGCTCATAATATCTTGCAATGAAAAAAGTTGGTTGCTTTTCCATTGTAGTTAGAATCAAAGGACCAAAACCAAAGAAACATCTACTGATTTTGGATGCCTTCTCCTTTCTACATGTTCAATTTGAGATCTTTTTAAAATGCTCAATTTTCAGAGGACAGATGAAAAAAAATGCTGATAATCAAGTCTTTTTAAAATACATCCAAAATCACTAGCAAATTTTGCAAATGCTTATCTTGTAGTTTTAGGCCCTTCTCCTGAAATAGCAGCTCAAACAAAACTTTGGCAGGCCTTTGCAGGAGTTTTACCTGGATAAGCATCACAGAATCAGACCTATTGTCTCTAAATAGGTAGGTGCACCAGAGGTACACTCAATAAATGATACTTTCCTAAGAGTTAAAAAGCAAAAATCTGCCCCTGCCCCCATTGCCAGCAGTAGGAATCTCACTACTGATTTAAATGGGAACAGGGTCAGACTGTGAAGGAAGTTCATTTTCTATTCTAAGGAAATAGAAAGCAATATCTCTCATCTGCTGAAGTTTTGCAGGAAAACTTCATGTATAACATTGGCAGAGTTACTGAAAGGCAAGTAATTAGATCAGTGACTCCATCTCAGTTGGAGTGACAGCTGCATCTCTTTCATGTCAAGTTAATTTCAACTATAAATTAGGGAGATTAAGTACACATACAATACTGTAATCTGGAAGATTTATATAAGGCAAAATCATCTTTCATACATTTTTATAAAGAAAATTGAAGTCCACTTTTGGGTTTACCAATAAGCAGAAATGGCTGATGGTATTTTTGACACTAAACAGAAAAATTACTACAAAACAGAAAAAAAAAGAAAAAAAAATGAGGAAGGACTTAGCTGAGTTTTAGCAAATTAAAAAAAAAATAAAATGACCTAAGCCTTCCAATGGAAAATAAAAAAATAGAATCTATAAAATAATTTTAAAATGTGATTAAAAAGCCTGACATTTTTAAGGCTGTTATATCCAGCWGCTGTGATATTCAGACTCCTACAAAATCTTAGGAATCTGATCAAGCCTGCCGGATATCCAAAGAAAAATGTAAGAAGTGATTTCATTTTATATATATAATATATATATATATAAATCAAATAAATATGAAAAGATTTGTTCAGTTTCTYATTTGTCTCTCACTCTGTAATATTAAGAAAAAAAAATTCTCCCTGAACCCTCCCAGTCGTATGCTTGATGGGAAAATAACCRTGTGTTCATCTTCTTGGAGAACTAGAAACCAAAAACAACCCAACTGCAAGGCAATGGAGGCAACCACTTCCAGTTCACAGTATTGCAGTTAGAAGTACAGTGAGGTCTAGGTAAGTGACGGAGCAGGTGTTGCCTGGAAGGGAAGGAGGAAGTGTTCACATGACAATACAGCATTGACAGCGCTTTTTCTTTTGTGTACCTGGGGCGGCTTCCAAGGGCAGGCTTTCTTCTTTGCCCTCTGGAGAAGAGGGCTCTGTCGTGTCTGAAAGYGGCCTGCCAGAGACCAGCTCAGCGGCGTTCCCATCCATGGTGGAGATGTCTGTCACTGTCTTCTCCCGCAGCGACTTTTCGTCATCTTCATCAATCAGGACCAATTCTGCCTTGATTGTTTCATCATAGCCCAGCACTTTCTTTGTCTCCTCTTCATCATCGATGCTCTGGTAGCCCATAAATATCATGGTCACTGGCTGATCTCTGCCGGCCTCTGGGGCTTCACCACCACCACAGGGTTTATCTTGGGGCTGAGGGTTCACAGGCTTCCCTTTGCTGGGTTTGCATACCATTTCCAGCTTTGCCTCCTTGAAGAGCATTTGCTCCTTCATATGGCTAAAGTTTCCATCTGCTACCACATTTCTGTCTGACACAGTCATTGTTTCATACCCTCCTTTTACACTTGATTGTCCAGCTTTTTGCATAAGTTCATCTACGTCCTTTGAGCTTAATTTATGTACTCCATTTTCTACCACTGTGCCACCAGAGTGAACCTCATAGACTACCTTGGTACCATCATCAAAGACTTTGAATCCTTTTTGATGGGCCCCATCTGGGCCAATAGGTGAAGCAGAGACAATCTTGGTCTCTCCTGTCTGTTTGTCTTTCTCCACATTAATTTCCATGGTGTACAAAGCTTGAATGAAAACAAGAGAGGAAGTGCATGTTACAACAGAAAAAGCCAGTGAATGGTTAATTGCCAAACAAACAAAGAAAACTATGGTGTCCCTTTTCCTCTCTCCTGTCTCTAAAGGGCCAAGCATTCTACGTTAGAGGTGGGATGTACACTGTGAATAGGGATAGTTATTGCACCACAGATCTTTATGCTGTTGGAGGCTAGACATACCTGTGTACACTGGAGGCCGTCTTCCAGCTCGCTCCACAATTAGAAGCGTGAAGAGCATTTAGGGTTAGGTGTACTTTTGACAAAGGGAGGTGACAGCATGCATTTTTCCCTTTATGAACTCGCCTCAAGTTCAAAGAATAAGTAGAGCATCTCCCTGCTTTCTTTTCCTTTCCTATCATTAAACTGCCCATTAGCTGGTAACAAGTTTTGTTTGATGCAAGTAACACACAGGTTGTTTTATTAGCAATACTTGTTCTTGCTTAACTCTTCCATTGTCGCACTCATAAACCTTATAGAGGTAAAGAACTATAGTTCACTCCTGTTCTACAGATGGGCCAACAAATTCACAGAGCAATGCAGCAATGGCTCCCAGAAGACTTGGGGCAGAGTAGGTTTCTTGGCTATCATACCAAGGTACTTAAACTGTGACCTTTGCTTGCAGATCAAGATTGCGATAAAAATGCCAGTGAAGTACTCCCTCATATTTCTGAATGAAATCCACTCCCAAATGGGTTCCATCATTTCCAAAACAGGAAGTTGAAGAAAAAAATAATAATGAGCTACCATTGTGAAAGAGAGGATAAATATATGTGTAAGGGATGCTGTTCAGGAACAGTAATGAAACATTTCTAGCTATTAAGAAGGATTGAGTAGTGAGAAGAAAACTGTAGTAACCACACAGTAGGAACAGACAGGCAGTGTGCACCGCTCTAACCCACAATGTGCTCTAATTAGACAGATTTCCAAGGAAAAACATGCAAAGGTTTCTCAGATTTTCCAGAAGTTGTCATCTACTGAAATATTCCTTATATGGAGAGGAAAACAATTTCATTTTTTGAGGATATCCACAGACACTTGATTATAATTTACTATAGGATTTATCATGACCATTTCCATCAATGAAGCTGAGTGGTATAACCATGATTTCTCTTACCTGGGAGTATTACAGACTGATGTGTATGGTTTTGTGATTTTTTTTTTTCAATGAGTACAGAAAATCCCTTTCTCCAAATCAATGTAGCATGTATGTTTGTATTTAAAACATTATTACTATAAAAATTATGCTGTTTCCTTCACTCTTACTATTCAAAGACTGCAACTCTCTTTCGTATTCCTAAGTGAAGTCTCTACTCAGAACTAGGAACCTTATCATACTGTGCATCATGAACACCTCTATAACTCTGTATAGAAAAGTAATCTATTGTAGTGAGAACCTAGCGTGATTGACAGGCCACCCAATCTTGGGCTTCACTGCCTTGCTGTGAGTGAAAGGGTGAGTGTTCAGATCTACCACCTGACAGGGCTGATTTGATCAAATGCAGTATCACACAATCATCTTTATTGAGTTGGAGGATAAAGAAGCCAGCTAAGAGAGTGTCCTAAAGACTATGCTTTATTCATGAGATTTATGGACTAACTGTGTCCTCAGCAATCATGTCCCTGGAAGTTCCCAAGTAATTACAAGGAAGCTGCTGATAAGATTGAGCCAAGCTCTTCTGTGAGGTGCACAGTAGGAGGGCACACATTGAAATGGGAGATTCAGGCTGAACATACTGAGGAAAACAACCAAGTCATGGGGCAGCTAACACCGAAGGGCTGTGAGACCTCTGTCCTTCGAGGTAAAGGTCAGTTTGAAGGTAGAAAGAAACATGAGAGAGTAACCTATAATGCAAATGCTAAAACTGACACATGGGCAAGTTTCTGAATGGCAGTCAGCTGAACTGAGCTAAGGGTGAGCTAGGAGAGAGAACAGACATCTCCAGCACATCATGGGTGGCAGGCAGAAGTTCCTGGTATATGCTGAGCACCAGAGCTCTGCTGAGTGAGGCTGCCAGCAATCAGCTGACTGGCAGGATGCCTCCTTTTCAGTGAAAAGTGGCATCCCCAGCTCTCACGGGTTTCTGAGCTTTTTTGAAAGCTTGTTCAAAAAGCAAAGAAGACCTTTCTGAGGTTATCCGAGGCACCATTTCAGAAGACTTCTAAATTCTTTTGTAAGGCTGCTGTTTTTTCTTTGAAATACTATTTTCTGCCATGTTATTGCACATACTTTCAGTGCAACTTGCCATGCCCTTTTTATTCTTCAAAAATTTCATTCAGCAGTGGTGAATACTTTCTGGGGCACACAGCTGAAGAACCCATATTCTGAGTCAGGCAGGGCAAATTCAGTATTTAAATCACATGGACTTGGTCATATTTAGGAAGGGCTGGAGGATCCATCTCTGTGTACAACAACCAGTATTGGAAAGCAATGATATCAGGAGGGTTTTGGACATCAATAGGTTCCAAAGCTGCTTAGAAGACTGTGACTATTTAATGATCTGATTTGGAAAATTAGCAAGTGTGGTGATATCCATGTGTATTTGAAGTTTGCCTCATTTTCTTACACATTTGCTACTAATACATTCTTTTATGATTTCTAGTACAGTGATTTCTGGAACAGTTTTAAGATCGTGACATACAAGAACTTTGTGACTTACCCTGGGGATGACATTAAAGCCACTTTTGACAGTAAATGCATAAATTTAAGCCTGCGTCTTAAAGAGCTGTTCACTAGTGAAATATGATATCATGAGAAAAACGAACAACAGAATCTTGCTAATCTGCTTGCAGGCATAATGTTTATTTTCAACAGGAAAACCCAGCACCACAGCTTCTCAGAAAAGTTACTAATGCCGTTTTCTAAAACTTTCCTTATTTAAGGAGAGCTAATTGATGTCAAAATATACTCCGTTAATACAATATAAAACTATCGATAGAGTTGAAACTGAAAGCGGTATTTGAAGATGACAGCTTGTGTGCGTGAGTACAGTTTTCTGTACAGGCTTTAATTACAGTGTGACATGATGCAGTGCTTCATGACAAGACCCCAGTGTGCCTATGAAATGATTCTGTTTCACCCTGTAAGTGGGAAAGATTCAACATACTTCGAGCTATGTAATAAGATGGATGATTAGAGACCGCCTTTGAGAGCACACTGGGTGCCTTTTCTTGACTGCATTCACACAGTGCTGTTAGCAAGAAATATATAAGTCCTCCAAGTACTGAAAGAAATAATTATTTTCTTTTTGATGTCTAAACGACATGAAATATTTAGGGAAAATTATGTTTGACCTTGCTTTTGGTTCAGATCATGGAAAGCCCAGGTTTAAGAGAAATTTTCAGAATACCTTTCAAAACCTTGCAAAACCTTGCAAAAAATAACATATGTTGTAGAAATGTACTGTATTTTAGCTTCAGTGCTACTTTGCCATTATTAGTAATCTACATTTCAAGTAAACCACCCTTCACTCTCACTAGCCTCCAGCTGTTTAGTATTAAAATAGGGATTACACTGTTTAGAATAAAGGGATCTTGAAAATAATAAAAATATAGTTTAACAATTGTATTAATACATTTAGGATACATACATAATCTGAAAAAAAAAGCAATAGAAAATTCTCTGTATGACTGTAACCACAAAACACTTTGTAATTCTTCCTTATTCTCCCTGAGAAGGAAGAGTACAATATAAATTAGTATAAAATGATGCAAAAGTCTGAAGCACATATGAGGTCATGTGAGTGCCTGTGTATCTCATTTATCTTAATGGAGGCTGAATGGGTACAATGAAGGAACAAAAACCATGGCCCTGATATCATACATAGGTATCTGAAGAGATGGTAAGAACACAGTGCTTCTTTTTAATAAAAACTGGACGCATTTCCTATGCTAGTTGTGTGTAGTTCAAATCCATTGTTTTGAGAATGCTCAGAAAGCCTCAGCTTATTCACCAAATACAAAGCAAATGGAATTTCCTGCCATTTAAATGATATCTGGACACCAGTCCTGTTAAGGTAATACAAGAGAACAGAGTTCATGGCTACTGGTTTGGTATTACAACACTAAGCTCCTCAAGACTTACCAGCTACTCTGCTCGCTGCGTCCCGCCCAGGAACTGCCTCTGCTGTTCGTGAATAGAGGGTTGGGAGTTCAGGGATCTGGGAGTAAATGTAATTTACTGCATCTGGTGTCAGAGAACAGGAAACAGTTAGGTTTGTGCTACGAGCACCAGTGGCTTCATTGCTTAGACAGCAGAGTGTTAAGTTATCAGCCCACACAATAGACATTGGAGCTTTGTACTATATAACTGGATCAAAGTAAACAAAGTGCAAAGTCACTGTCATGTGATTGGTGTTCAAAAGACTAGCTGAGGTAGGAGGGAATGGGTGCAGATGACTCAAACCTTATGTCAGTTGAACACATCGAATTAATTGTCAGGAGGTTCTGGATTTATCAAGTCAGTGACCTTTAAAATGGTGTATGTGTGCGTGGGGGGAAGGAACAGGTTTAATGCGATACATTAAAAAAACATTATTTCAAATAGAAACATGGAAGTCTAAATATGATAGCGTCAACTGAAAGAAGAAAAAAACAGTTCTTTTATACTGGGTGTTTCTGACATTAATGAACTGGCATTCAGCATTTTGTTCCTAAAGCTAAAGCTTAGGTTATAATGAAATCCTCTGTAGGTACTGTTTGATACGGTGACTGCTGTGATGATCAGTATGTGCAAAGTCTTGTGCCCTCTTCCCTCAGCAGAACCCAAATYAACAGAAACCCACCCTGAAGAACTGATTTGCTTTACCTTTCTGCTTATGATTGCTTAGTGTTCTTTAGAAGGGAGACTTTAAGGGAGATTTACAAACATTAGCTAAGCTTCCCAGCTTAGGGAGGCTTAGACTAGGAGATGTTTTACGGCAGTTAAATGCAGGTAGTCCATGTGGTTCTGCTAAGGACTCAGAAGGAGAGTTAAGAGCAGAGCTCAGAGGAGAGATGTACAAAAAGTTGGTTTTTGGTTTGCGTGCCAAATAACAACAACAAAAAGAAAAGAGCGTGTGCTGTTGCTTCCCTATGAATGCCCCTTCAGCAGGAAAACTGGACCTGTTAACTATGACATGGTTCTCTAGCCCTAACAGCCCACAGTGTCCAGCGAAACTGCTTGGCATTTCCAGATAATAGCCACAGTCCTCAAGGGACACTTCACCTCTGCAACAACGTATGTGTCTTGAATAAGGAGCCTCCCACTGTTTACTCTCTGTTTTCTATGTAAGTGGAGCATGACACAGGGGCACAGTGCAAATTCATTTGGGAAAGCAAGAAAGTTACATAAAAGTTCGATTTTTAACAGATGAATTTGAAAGAAATCAGCCTGGGAAATATTATTTTATTTCACGCTTCAATGGACAAATGGGAGTCTTGGCAAATGGGCTTTTGTATTTTGAATGCATAGTATCTCCTAAAAGTTTTTCGTGTTCTATTTTTAGCAATACACCCTAAGAGAAATAATTATTTAGGACATGACTGACTGAGCAATGACCAGTAACATCTGCTTTCTTTCACAAGGTTTCTTGCCTTTGATGAAAATTTGGTACAATGCTTTGCATTGTTATTTTGGGAAACACCATTAGCCAGTGACTAGGCCATTACTGAAAATACAAGTAGCTTTTTTCAGAAGAGTTTTTTTCCCAGACTATTTTTTTTTCAGGGAGACTGCTTTGGGGAGCTGGAATAAGAAGACAATTTGTATTCCAGAATAGACAGAAATCTACAAAGGAATTATCCATCCCATACAGTTTGTACAGCTGCTAACACTAATTTCAGTATATGGTCAGTCAGTGAATTGAGTGGCAGACTTATCTGCCCACCAGTGGGAATAATTAATAAACACTTGTGCTTCTTAACTAACCATTCAGACTTCTTTTCAGACCATGGGCAATAAAAACTGCAAGGTTGCAATTTTCCTTGCAGGAAAATTGCTTCATTTGGAAAAAACCTCTGAAAGTGTTTTTTTTCAGTGACTGTACCTGGAACTGAGCTGACCATCTTGGCAGTGTGAGATTAATTCTACAGCTCGGTAGTGTAATTCTTACTTTAGCTTTGATTAGATTCATTGATTATAACAAGTGTTTCACATCTTGCCTTAAGACACAACATTGCTAAAGTGGAGTTAGTTTAGAAAGGTCTCTGGATATTACTTAGAATAAATAATAAAAATATTACTTTGTGGTTCCTGACTATGCCTAACTACTGGGCTGAGAAGGRAACAGTGTAGGGGTGGATTCTCTTTCTTCTGAAGGAACTTGTGATGCCACCTGTCAAAAATTGGACATTTGGCGAGAAATAGTTGGATCCTTCTTATTCTATCAGTTCTCACATTTCCAAAACAGAATGAAGAGGCAGGAACATCGTCATTTCCTGTTATCTTACTTTCAGTAAGGTAGGAGAGCCTTATTAGAAGGCGTAGATAAGACATAATTAGCATTGTTTTCATGAGAACTAATAAATATATTTGAACTCATTCCATTCAGACTTTTTTTTCCCCAAAATGTAGTGAGTTACTACTATCTAAGAATCCCATAGAATAAGTTATGTAGCATTTTGTACTGCTGAGAGCAAAATGCATTTCAGAATTATATCATTTTGCATATTATCAGACTGATAAGTGTTTCAGAAAGCATATGGGGCCAGACAGCCCTTCAAGGTTGTGTACATGAAACTGAATCTTCAAAACTTCTCAGAGCAGTTGCCACAGGGGCTTGTGGCCAGACATTAGATGAGCCCATTATTCAATGGACTGGTTAACTTGAAAAAAAATCCAACTACCACTAAAATCAGTGTTTAAAACCTTCTGCAAATTCATCCTACAAGGGCAGGGCCTGTTCAGCCTGCAGAGCCCTCAGGGGCTCTGCAGAATCCTGCCCCAGGAACATAGAGATTACAGCCTGACCACTGAGGCTGTAAGGCTGTGAATACAGGGCTTGAGCAGGAAGCTTTGCTAAGAACTGAATAGCCTGGATCTGACTTCAGCTGAACAACTGGCATTACTATGATTGCCGCAGTCACACACTTCAATAGATGCAGAGCCAATGAAAAGGCTCTTTAAAAATTTACAAGGGAAAACCAGCCACTGCTGAGTTTTTACAAGACATGAGGAAAGAAGTCAACAAAGATCTGCATTCAGCTGCTTTGAGGATGCGTTCATCTGCCGTGATGTTTGGCTAGACTGCTGATGGAGAACGGAGCAGAGGAAACCGTAATGGTCTCTAAGCAATGTGCTGTGAGCTAAACAGTCCTTGTCAATTTGCCAAATATATGCTAATTCATGTCAACTTCGGGCAGAAGTTTGTGCCTAAATCTTGATTCAGGCTTTATATAACACAGATTCCTAATGCAACTCTGCTGAAACCAATTAAATTATATCATGAATTAATTTGCTCCAGTGCAATTACTTTTCCCTTCACACTTCATGGCAAGGATAATGCCAGTCTTTCAGTCATGCCCTTTTTAATAATAAATTGTAAACTATAGAGTTACTGTGATTTTTGCCTCTCTATGTTGGCTAAAGTAGCAACATGCRGTTTGTATGTAAGTGGCCAATGGCAGTAGGGGACAATGGACCTTTGAGGAAAATTCAGCAAAAGGGCATCACATCAGATATTAATGTGGCTTTTATTTTATGTATACATAGAGCCACAAATACACAGGCACGCAAAACAGATGTTTGCATTCCGTTTGTTAGAGAGGGAAGAGTTCACAGGGTTTTGTCAGTGACCCAAGCTGCTGGGGCACCACAGGCTGGCAAAAACATGGCTGTGGGCCCATAGACCCCAGCTTTGGCTTTTCCATCGTGCTTTGTGTCGTGTGGTGACCTGTAGAAGGCAGAGTGTGCTCATACCTGTGAAAATGTAGGCGTTGTGTTGATTGTGCCTAACTGAGCTCAGAAATGCTAATTTCCAAATAAAGGCAGCTTCTGGGAAGGTTCATGCAACGTTGGTGGGAAGGTCAAGAATGTCCACCAGCCAGCACTGCTGCCTGTTGCTTCTTCTCCTTTCCTCATGACCTTCCCTTAAACCCCTCTGGGCTCTGAATGCCCACAGCTTTGCTTTGCTTTCTGCACACTCAGAAGCTGTGTCATTGTTATATATGGCACTAAAACATGCACAGGAAAACAACTGTGAAGCAAGACACTTTCTACAGCATCATCACATTTAAATAAATGGAGGAATGGATACAGAGGAAATTAATGTGGAATTTATGTATATGACAGCAATTGATGAAGCGGACGCAAATCGATGATTTGAGTTGGTTGGTTTGGGTTTCTGTTTTAGCTAACTTTCCTCTACTATCCATTTAATCCATTTTCTGCTACAGGAGGAGTAATGAATGGTTGCCACACTGATTGCTGCTCTGCTACAAATATTAAGACAGGTCCTTAATGTTTTTTTTTTAAAGAGGGGAAGACTGTTATCCTCTCATTCTCAGTTTGCTAGGTACTTTTTTATGCCTGATGCAATCAGCTGCATTCACAGGCTGTTGTCAGAGAGCAGAAAATAAAGGACTTGCTCATTTTTTTTTTTGCTATGTGGAGGTGCATAGTCAAATCCTGCCCTTTTTAGATGCATAAACCTGTGTGAGCATGATGGCTTGCAGCCTAGACCTTCCCTAGAGCAGCAGAACACTGCTTAGAGGATCATCTAGGACCGTCTGAGTATYTTATAATCTCAGCTAAGAAGGACCAGTTGCTGGGAAGACAAGTAGGAAGTAGAGAATAGTGCTAGTTAATTTAGCTATATTCCATGCTCCCTCTGCAGGAATAATACATTTATTCTGGACATACTACTTTTGCATTATTTTTTAGCTTTTTGTCAGATCCTTAGAAATCCAAAGTTATCCAAAGTAAGGGAATGCATGTAAAATCTGAAGATCAGATTTGATTCTTTCTGAACTCAATGGAGTATGGAGAAAAAGGGGGAAAATTATTGTTTTGTATTGTTAACTGGGGCTTAGGTTTTTATTTTGCCACTACACATCTAAAGAGATGTGTCTTGCAGGAGTCACAAAGGCTCCTGAACTCTTGGGAAGCTCATCCAGGAGGAATCCTTTCCTCTTCAGCTTTTCACCAACTGAGGCAAAAGTTACTACAGACCCAACTAAAGATAATTAAAATTATAAAAAGGAGACTTCTGAACTGGTTCTTTGACTTAAAAAGAAGAAACCTCCTCTTACTAGTTAATATTAGTTCCTGAAAAATAAATATTCCCAAAACAAAATACATCTGATTTTTATTGTAGTTGTTTATTTCTACTGGAATCTTTCTTTTGAAACACCGTTAAATAATTTTACAGTAAATTAGCAATACTGTAGCAAAAGGGCAGCAGTTATTGCTCTTCTTTGGTCAAAATTCTGCAGATCTCTTTGCATACCTGCTTCAACCAACCACAAGAAAAAAGACCCTGAGATCTCTGCTATCTCCACACTCACTCCTGAATTTAGATTTCATAACTTTGCAATCCCAAGATATGTCTAAAATTTGCTTCTCTGTTCCTCACAGTAAGTACTTTCTTAGTTGATGTAGATGTAGATAGATGCTCTTGCTTGAAGATTGCTGCCGTCAGCTACAATATGTGCAAAATTACTTGAGAAACCACTKCCTCAAGGAGGTTGAAGAGCACTCTGCCTCTCTTTCATACATCTATTACAGACTTGAATGATGGGATCTTATACATGTAAAATTTGCCAATAGTATCACACTCTGAGAGGCTGCAAGTATGGAAYGAGAGGTGAAATGATCTTGATATTTTAGGGCAATTGTTGTAACAGGCCACTGTGAAGGAGCACTTAGGAGTCATGTGCATTACTATAATATGAAGACTGACTGAGGAGATAGGAATTAGGAAATGTATTTGTATTAAATTATGAATTTAATCTTGAGATCAGTATACCATGTTGTTACAAAAACATTGGTTTAATGGAAAACTATATTTGAGATCAAGAGATACTTTTTTCTAATCTAATCTAATGCTTTGATCAATTCAGTGAATTTGGGRTCAGCTCATATACCACATTGTAATTGTGTTTTGTCCAAAGGTGTAATGTATTTATTAGGATGCTCCTACATAATCCTCATGTTTGCTCTAAGAATAGGAACCTGGATGACTTGCTTAGCAGCTAGAAGTCATAGTTCTGACCTCAATATTTTGCATAGGGCCGGTTCAAAGGTGTGTACTGAAAATGAGTCTCTGGTACACAGATGTAGTAGGTACTACTACATCCATGGAGTAGGACTAAGAGGGTCAGATTTTTTGCTCACTCATGCATCTAAACTAACAGATCAAGACTTAGTGCCATCAAACATACTTAGGGCACTTAATTCACAAACCAGGAATTACTATGTCMTCGTGCATCTATGAAAGTTTTCCCTTTTGTTGGAATCATCACACAGACAATACACYAGTGAAGCAATCTAGTACTGATCGAAAAAAAAAGTGATCTTGTAAATTAAAAACAATCCTCCTTGCATTTAGCTGTTTATGATTACCGTATGTGCACATGAGAAAACTGCTTGTTTATCAGGTAATAGTGTAGCAGTGTGTTTGTGTCATGTGGTAAAAGAAGTCAGTAACAAAATCTATATGATGATGGTTTTAAGTCATCCATGGTTTGCTTTTTCCTTAGATAAATATAAAAATAGCTGGAACTTCACCAAGGAATAGTATTTCATGATGATAGTGTCATTTGTGATTGCACCAAGTAATGCCAAAGAAATGGTTCTATCAAGAAAAAGGAACTGGCGTAAATAGACTATTTCTCATATTTTAAACTCTGCCGCAAAATCTATTAACAACTCTTTTAAAACCCAAAGCTTTACAGAAAATATAAAGGCACTTACCACCATCCTGGTGTGAGAACCTCTGCAAGAAAGGAAAAAAAAAACAGGAAAAAAGAAATTAGTTAAAACCTCCATGTTTTGGATAAAATTTGCTTTTTWAAAATTTTTATACTAGGTCTGCTTTTATGCTTCCTTGTCAGTTTAAAATGGGTTAACTGGTGATATAGTTACTGGGGTTTAAGTGATTAGATCAAGGTTTAAATGATTACAGATCAAGGGAGAGGAGCCTAGTGTTACTGAAAAGAGAACATTTGCTTTATTGCATGCAGTAACACTCAGAAACAGTGTTTTTGGCAAATGACACTATCGCTGCATGCAATTGAAGGAAGGAAAGTTTTTGATGCCTTTCAGAGTCCTGCTGACAACTTACAATATGGCCAAGTCTTACATGGTTTCACTGCAGGTAAACTAGGAAAATAGATATGAAATCCCTTTTCAAAAAGCTGAGGTGGGAAGGGAAAATCCAAATAACCTAACTAAAATAGATCTGACAGCTTTATATCTTTTCTGGTCTTCTTCATGCTGTTTTGATTTTTTTTTTTAAATACCTTTTGCAAGTCGTCAAAGGATTGCTCAGTCTCCTTTAGCTTCTCCAAAATGATTTGTTCTTTGGCAGATATTTGGGATTCCTCACTTTCTAATTTCTCTATTTCTTGTTCCAGCCTGGGGAAGACGTACAGACATACATATACACACAAGAACAGAACATGAAAAATTATTTCAGTAAGTCCTAGTTGCCTAGATATTAATTAGCATTTCACATGTCATCAGGAACACGTTTCATAGTCACTGTTCAGAGCTGCTTTCCGAGCACATGAAGGTTTCCTGAATTATTTGTAAATTAGAAGGATTTACTTCAAAATGATAATAAATATTATCCTGTTTTGCAACACACATTAAGTTACTTAAAAATTCTGCAGTGTTCCCTCACCTCAATTCACGTACCACCTTTCATGCATGCACTTCCATTTTAAAAACACAGTGCTAGAAATTACTGAAAATATGCTGTAATAATCAGAGGAATAGGTGTCTTCCCACATTTCCTTAATACAGACAATGAAACTTGAAAAAACTGCTGGAAGCTGGCAGTCACCCACTTGAATTAGCAGTATTTCTTGAACTAGTACTTTGCTCATTCCCCACAGCAAACACRTATGGCCTGTAGTCCTACTCCAGGATAGACAAAAGCAGTGGATATAGTCAAGATCTGTAGAGTTACTCAGTGGTACTGGGGGCCCCAGAGCTATCAGATAATAGAAAACACGGGTTGTGTGGAAAATAATTTTCATTTCTTTTTTGGGCAACAGAAATTCAGCACTCTCATGGATCTTGCTGAGAGCTAATGGCACTCACTCACTTCTTAAGAAGTGGTTTATTATAATTTCAGATACACTTAATCAAAAATGTTCAGGGTTAGATTCTCCATTACTTTAACTCAGACCTCCTTTTATTTACATGGTTTATGTCACTACAGGAACACCTTCTCTCTCTCTCAATTTTTATRTATACCACTATATATTGCTTTGTTAAAAATGATATGTAATGTGAGCTGAGGTGAATATCTGTAGTCAGACTTGGTTAATTAAGAACTTTCTTAAAGTGAGCTAGAGCTGTTCAGGGCTTGCTGCACTGCAGCTCTGTTAACATGATGGATCACCGCAACCTCGGGCTTCCATTAAAACAGGTGGTCCCATGTTCATGGCCACTTGCCACCTTCCTGCCTCCATCTCTAAGGTGAAAGATCACAGCTCCGATCCATTTAAAGTGACATTATTCTTGCTTTTCCTCTACCCTGCTCAACACACAACTTCATAAATGCTGCGCAAGGCAGAAGGCAAGGGGAAGGTGACCACAAGCATCCAGGGAGAAGAGAAGAAGGTGACTGAGACTCTCAGGGACTTGCTAGCTTGAGGTGAAAGCTTCATTGGTGAAGCTTTTGTGGTGAAGATTATGAACATTATTGTTCATAATCCTAAATATGGATATAGGGGCCTAACCTTAAGCATTCACTTGGGAAAGTTTTGGACYCTTTCTGATCACACAGGGAGGAAAGATACGTGGCACTTCCTGAGAGCATTTTACATTAGAGAGAGGCAAAAACATTGCAGCTACAAATTCTGTGTGAAAAAGGCAGATTCTGCTATCCTGAAATACGTAAATGCTTAATAGTCTAAGAACCCTAATGGACAGTAAAACTGTTATTTTTCCTTCCTAAAAGAGGAAATTCTTTTGTTATTTTTCCTTCCCTCTCCTATGTTGAAATAGCTTAATTTTGATATTTTTAAATGAACTGTTGGAAAACTCTTGTTCAAATGCAATAAATGTTTTCTTCAAATTAATGTTAAAAATTGTAAAAATACAGTCTTGAAACAAAATATTTTCTTCTGTTAAAGTGGAACAATGTGATGCAAAATAAATATTTCCGTTCTTTTATGATTCAGGGAGAAGGTTTTCAAAAGAAATTATTTAATCTCAGTTTTTCTCCACAGAATCTTTCTTTGAACAGCTAATGATGTGAAAAATSCACTTGTCCCTGAGGTCTGTTATTTCCAAGTTCCTGCTTAATKAATTTGGAAGTCAACAAGAAGGTGACTTTTGTCCCTGCCTCTGGGAATGGTTAGACAATCCATACACATTTAAACTTTATTGCTAAAGATGTTTGAATTGTACTACTAAATGGTCTATTGAAATTACACAGTGGAGTTGGGTGAGTAGGGGTTTCTTGCTAAGTGGATTCATCAGCAATCAGAATATATATTCTGTGGCCCGCTACGTTTTACTAGCCACATGACCTAGGAAGAGACTGGAAAACAGGAGTGCATACAAGTCGGCAACAACAAAAGAAGTCCTTTGTCTTTGAAATGAGCTGGACATTCATTAATCGTTTATGATGATGAATTCAATGTGAGCATGTGCAGTGTGAGGCAGCTCATTCAATGTAAAGTTATCAYTGGTATCATCTGGTACGCATCCAGACTCCTTGTAATTTGGGGTAATCCTAAATGTATTATTTTTTCATGCACTAGTTCAGAACTATAAGAGGTTCATCACAATTTATTCTCTCTAAAAATATTGTTTAAAATACATGAATGTGTGTATTCGTATATGTACTTGCACATCCACACAGAAGAATTCCTTGGATTTATACTTTTTGAGTGTTTGGCTGTTTGCCCTTTTGTTTTTATTTCATTATCATCTCCCAGACTTCTTCCTGGTTCACTTCCTATGTCTCTGTGGCATTCATGTCAGACTACCTTCACCTTTAAGAGGTCAGGCAGATGCAACACTCGATGACCCTCTTTTTTGACAACACATCTTGTTCTTTTTTTTCAGATCCTTTTCTCAGTTCCTCTCAGAAGCAGGAATAATAACAAATTACTAAAGAGGAAAAGAATGGAGATAAACCTGCCAGAATTTAGAGAAATGGATAGAACTGGTACGATCACAAATTTCCTACGGGAATTAAAGAAGAAAATATGCAATGTGTACAATGAGTGCAAACTACCAAAGCAATCAGCACACAGACAAGCTAAGAGTCTCCCAGTCCCTGTGTAGAATGAGCCTTGTCCTGGAGAGATTGATATGTCTAGCTAATGTACTGAGCTCTTGCTTCTGTTCTTTCTAAACGTTTCAGGAAAAAACATTAATGAATCAATAATGATCAGTCAGAGTTGACCTGTTATATAGCAAAGGGGTCATTTTCCAAGCATTAAGATTCAGAAGAGGTAATTTTATTTCTTTTCATTTAATGCCACACCACTTTTGTCTGGCAAATTTCTGTTCTTCAGTAGGGACTTAGTGTTCTCATCCTCTCCTTTTGACTGCAATCTTATATAGGGGATTAGCAATGAAAATCTTAAAATAATAATAACACAAACCAAATATTGTTTTGCTGCCATTGTCTTTTTTCGTGAAAGTCTTATCATCAAAAYTGCTGTGTGATAGACATAACTGCCTGCTTTTTTTAAGTAACAATACATACTGTGCTTATGCAGATTGTATCTGTAAAACAAAATGCTCTAGTATCTTTTTGGGGGAATATGCTCTATTCAAAATATAACCAGTAATAAATTTATCTAGAGCACACATACAGCTTACACTAAACAGTTAATTTCTTCCTGTGTAAATCAATAAAATATTCAATAATATCCTTTTCTTTTAGCCTGGTTTAAAAAGGATGTGCTTTAATTGTCATTCAACACCTGGTAAGGAAGTCTTACAATTCCCTTGTTCCKGGCTTCTTAGTGGCTTTCAGGCTGGAGTATTAAAAGATGGGAACAACAATAAAGGCAGAAAAACAACAAAAACAGTATCTGAAGTGCTGCAGGGRATAAATAAAAAGGATAATAGATATCAAGATAGAGTAGAAGCAGTGTGAAAACAGATTATTAATATTTCTGCTTCTTGGCTCMAGTGGATATCTGATAACTGGGATTTATGAAGATGTTTCTATAGGAAAAAAAACGGTCATGGGCTAAGGAGCTTCTTTGGCAGAGACACATTTTTGTAATGAATGTACACAGAATCCYGTTTTCCTGAATATCACAGAAATAAACAGGAGAGTTTTAATCATTCAGAAATCCTAGTCTGTTTTGCTGGTGGCTTGCCTGCCTTTTAGCTTCCTTTAATTGATGGCTGCCATAAAATTTAGTATAACAATATTCTTAAGTGGTGCGATTTCCTCAGCTATAATGGGGTCGAGTTCCTCTCGCCACATCTAAAGTTCCACTTCCTTGTCATAAGGAACTTGAGACAGGAAAGAAGTAATTTTGACAGTGCCTCTGGGCAGTGCTGGGCTATTCCCAGTAGTGTGGTAAGCAGCAAATTTTTGGCTTCTGTCTTCTGGAAGCACCTGACTCTAAAGTGCTATGAGGAAATCCAATACTTCTCCAAGATTCCTACATCCTGATGTGGCGTCTTGGAGGCTGGAGTGACTCTCCACTTCCCCTCTCAATTAACAACTATTAAACCACGTACCACTCAGGTCTAATACTGAGGAGAGCAGTCAAGTAACACACGTGACATGCCTTGAAGGACATTAATGGCCCCTCTATGAAGGAGAAAGAGCCCTGAATAACAGAAGAGAGGGTAATATTTATAGATATTGTCCTTTGGACATCATTTTGCTGTAAGTAGTTGTCTCAGGGTGCCKTGATGCTGCAGTGAATAAGATCGCAGAACTTATCTGGAGGGAACATCCAAGGGTCTTTAGTCCAACCTCCAGTTTAAAGCAAGGTCAGCCATGMGATCAGATTAGGTTGTTCAGGGTTTCATCCCTTTTCGGAGTCCCAACAATTCCAAGGATCGGTGAAAAAAATAAAGATTCTTTAAGACTGCTCACAGACTTTTTCTTTCACAGTCCATGAGTATAAGACACCAAAATTCACACCAGAATAGTTCTACGCTGCATTGGAAGAGGATGAACCAGATAGCTAAAGGAAATCTGGCCCACATATTTTTTTCTGACTTTGTGGGACAAAATTGGGATTGAAGATTGTCACACTAGTGAAGCAAGGCAGGCAGTGAGAACAGGAGATAAGAAAAAAAATAGTGAGGGAAGGAATTAAGTCAACGATTAGGGAAGAAGTGGTGAATGAATTGCCCTAGAGATATAGGGAGCATCAGTAATAAGAGGCATTGAGCAGCAAAAAAAGATTGCCTAA